GCAGCCGCACCGCGCGCCTGGGCACCCCTCCGGGTGTCGGCACCGAGCGTGCGTGCACCAGAAAGCAAGTGTGGGAAATTGCACGAGCATCAATCCCACTATTCCTTGGAGCTTGCATGGTGCGCAGCAGGGACGCCATACTCGATCAACGTTGCCCTCGTGCTCCCCGCACAGGTGTATAATCGATCAAGCTTACGCTGTACAACCAATAAAGCCCGCAGGAATTATGAACTCGTAAATGAATATATGCATGCACTGGGCACGCTAGGCATGCAACTCGTGCCGATAAGGTCCACATGAGTCCGTGTAACGAGAGATGGTGACACCCACGTCGCATTGGACGCGCACGTTGCAAATGTGAAACGCACCACTGCACTTCATGCAAAACATAGGTCGTGAATACACTACCATTTGCACCATTTCGAACATGGTCGCTATCTCTCGGCAGCGAAGTAATAACTGCCCATGCACAAAAAACTGGTCGCCGACTTTGGCTCGGACATAATCTCGAGCAAACAAAAACGAATCGATACGCGTCCAAACCATACATACATACATACATACATGCATGCATGCATGCATGCATACATACGTACATAAATGCATACATACACACTTACATCCATACATACATACATACATACATACATACATGCATACATGCATGCATGCATGCATACATACATACATACATACATACATACATACATACATACACACACGCATACCTACATACATACATACATACATACATACATACATACATACATACATACATACATACATACATACATACATACATACATACATACATACACACATACACACATACCTACATACATAGATACATGCATACATGCATACATGCATACATGCATGCATGCATACGTACATACAGGTATACATGCATACATGCATGCATGCATACATGTATACGTGCATACATGCATACATGCATATATGCATACATACATACATGCATACATGCATACCTGCATACATACATACATACATACATACATACATACATACATACAGACAGACCGACAGACATACATACGTACATACATACATACATACATATATATATATACATGCATACACGCAGTCATGCATACATTATGAAAGCGTATGGAAAATAGTGCACACGCACTTCAACCAGCACAGCGAAGCGCAGTGAAAATTGCTGGGAGCGTAAAAGGCACCGCAGGCATTACAACACTACACGGGTTAGTAGAACACGAGACCGCAGAGCGATGCAACCATTGACTGCGAATTGTCAGCGCGCAATGAAAATACAAATCATATTGAAATTGGTGTTCCCCCTCTCCAAAGAATCATCGAACAGCATGAGCATGAAAGCTGTAATGCGGTTGCACGCAGAAGCGCCTTTCGGCTCACCGACAGGCCGCGGCCCTGGTTGCTCCTTTTCGCCGTCCCCGGTTCCGCCGTACCTCATTTCTGCCCCATGTTGTTCCTCGTTTCGTCGCGCCATGCCTCCTTCCCGAAGCTCCGGAACGAATCTGTCATTCCCAAAGGGTGGAGATCGCAAGGGAGCCAGCACCACGAGTGGCCCCCCTGTGAAACAGCCGCAAGTTGTTGGGCGGGGCGCCCCCTCAGCTGACGTTGCACCACGACGCGCGGCAGACGCGCCTCGCGGTTCCGCGGGCGAGGGCCCTTTCTGTTGAGCACTTGCCCCCCGCGTCCATATTCTTCGCCGGGGGGCCCAGCGCAGATGCAGACCAGCCAACGCCCTCCGACCGCCTTCCTTGCCTTGCCTCCTCTCCTCCCCCCCTCTCCTCCCTCCTCCCTCCTCGTCCCTCCTCCTCCTCCTCCTGCCTCCCCCTCTGCCTCCGGCTTCTCCTCCCTCCCTCCCTTCCTTCCTTCCTTCCTTCCTCCTCCTCCTCCCCGCGACGGCCCAGGAGACCCCCAAGAGGCCTCCGAGACCAAGAGGTCTCCGCGAGGGCCTCCGGGCAGGCCCGACGAGACCAACCAAGCGATGCTCCGTGAGCTTTCGACGGAGTTTGGCGCATCTGCTTCTTGCCGGCCCTCCGACGGCACGGGGGACGGCCCGAGAGAGCCCCCACAGCTCGCCCCGAGGTCGCCCGAGAGGCCTCGGAGGTGGCCCCAAGACGGCCCAAGAGGCCCCCCAACTGTGCTGCCCACAACTAGATGTGGTAGTTATGGGGAAGTTGTGGATCTTAACTTGATCTTAACTGGATCATGTTAACTTTAACTTTCAGATCTTAACTTGAGCTTCCAGATCTTAACTTGATCTGCCAGATCTTACATAACTTGAACGGTGCCGAGGCCCCCAAGACGCCCCGGATGGCCTCCGAGACGGCCCGGGAGCACCCCTGGAGGACTCCAGGACGGCCCGATGAGGCGCCCACGAAGGCTTCCGACGGCGTCACACGGGCCAGGAGCCCATCAAGACAGCCCGAGATGGCTCTAAGACGGCCCAAGCCAGCCCACGAGGCCCCCAAGAGGTCTCCAAGAC